GTTTTAAATTACATGTTCGATTAATTGAGATTTTTTTGTTGGTAATATCATTTCAAACTAATTCAGCGGGTCTAAAAATTAAAAACTCAAACCAAAAGCTGAAATCAAAAATAGAAACTTAAAAACTAAAAACCAAAAACTAAAATTTAAAACAAAATCTAAAAATAAAAACTGAAACTAAAAACTAATGAAAAACAACTATCACCACAAATTTTGGTAAACTAATTTTATACCAAAACATTCTTTAAATTAAGAGAAAACCTAGTATCTATTATTAAGTAGGTTTTTTCTTCGTTTTAGAATATCATGTCACTAATTTAATATATCGCATTGTGACACATATCCAATAAAACTACATTATGCTTTTTGTTAACTTAATTCTGCGATTTATAAGGACTTCGTTGTGTGTTGTTAAACCTCAATAACATTCTTAAAGACCTAGACTGGTAGCGTTAAAAGTAAGATCATTCATCCACACCGTTTTGGAATTTATGGTTCATCGTAATCTTTGATCTCTGGCATTAAAGAAATTGAGATGCAGAGGTCGGCGTGACAATTCTGTCGTTGGGGTTTCGATCACGTCCTTTTGCTTTATTTACTTCTATTGAAACGAGACAATTTTCAGATCCATCACACTAATCTAATGATAGATTCTTACTTATGAAAAATATATATACATAGATTTTCTAAAGTTATTTTTTATTATTTTATATATTTGTGTCAAATTTTGTACCGGTCCAAGTTGAGACTGGCGAAATTTATTAATTTATTGAGTATAATTTATAGAGGTTTTACTGTATATAATTTTAATTGTAGGTACTTGCGGACATAATCTTTCTAAGAATACTTATCAGTGTATATTTATTAATTGAAAACCAACATGATATGATAAGTTATTATTATATTTTTTTAAAGTTTAAATAAAATGTCCAATTATTTAAATTTGACAAAAAATTGCACCAAAAGATGTATGTTTATCATTATGTTGAAATTTAAAAAAAATCACATATTAAATTATTTTAGAAAATATCTTTATATAAATGTTTTTAACTGAATAATATTTAATTATAATTTATAACATAAATTTTTAAATTTAATAAATAATATTATTTTCAGAATGAGAAAATCAATTATATATAAAAACACAATATATATATATATATAAATTATCATGTAGTTATAAATTATCATGTAGTTATAATATTATCTCCTGATTACAAGACTATATATATATATAAGAATTATCTTTTGAAAATGTTTTTATCTTTTCCAAATTTATTATATTAGTTTATAGTCAATGATTTAAGCTAACATATAAACCTAATATTATTAATATAATTTTTTTAATTATATCATAACTTATATATATATATATATTAATTTTATTAAGGGTAACAATAAAATTAACCACTCTAACTTTTAATAAAAACACTTCACAATAATAATATAGATTGTAATTTGAAATATCTGAACCGTGGTAGTTATATTTATGGTATCTTTTCATTGGAAAACAACTTATCAATGAATTAAAGAAAAATGTACAATCATGAAACTGTACTCTCTTTCTTTTCAATATTAAGATAAACATAATCTATAATAAAAATAATGAAATATACACAATGAAAATTAAAATCAATTTAACTTAAAATTAGATACACATTTAAAATATTTATTATAATTAATGATATATTAGGTAATTCTTTCATATACTAATCCGCTCATAGGGCGGGATAATCCTAATATATAAAAATATAATAAGAAACAAGGAGATTTATGGTATCTCCCCATTAAAAACTCGAATCATTAAGTAAAATAAAATATTTAAAAACTATAGAAACCTCAATGAATAATTTTTTTAAAAATAACAAAGTTAAACAAATTTATTATAAACACATACCTAATCTCTGGATGGAGATATAGACCACAGATAAACTCTCTCCTGAATATTTAAATGGACCGAAGAGAGTCCATATCGTTCACATACTTTAATTAAGTATTAATTAAATATTAATATAAGTTGTGAGAAATACAAGGTTTAAAAGCTATATCAGATGATGGTTTAATGGTGTAGTGTAGAATAGCTTTAGACATTTCCAATGGATTTTTTTTTCTTTTCGAAATAGAATAATGTTATAATATAGTTGGTTTTTACTCAAATAATGTTCTATTTTATAAAAAATATAATATAAAGTAAATCTATTTTTACTCTATTATAAAGTGAAAATAGAATAATTTTTGGACTTTAATCTAAACTTTGTTTTGAAGTGAAAAATGAAGTTGGGTAAAAGAAACCCTTAGTATTAGAGCACCCCCATCAGTGAACCTGTTGATGGGGGTTCATAACTTTTACTTTTTTTTTTCTTTTTTTTTTAGTTTTTTCGTTTTTATTTTTTATTTTTTTTAAAAAAAAAAAAAAATTGACCAATCGCGGGCCGCCACGTGTCGTGGGGCCCGCGAAACAGTGATGATACTGGTTCATCACCATGAACTTCCAGCACACAGGTTCATAGTTTTAGCATTATTATATTATTTTATTTTTTGGGAAATATGAGAGCACCCCCTTATAAATCCTCAATGGGGGTGCTCTTAAGATTGCTAGATAAACAGTGAGTAGAAAATGAGAAAACAGTAAAGCTATGTTGTCATTTCTCGATTAAGATAAGTGTCTGTCAACATATCGCTATCACATAACAGATAATATAACATACCATTTTACTCTTTAACGTTTATTTTTTTTGATAATCCAGTATCCGACCACTAAGCGTGATCGACTAGCCCACCGGGCCTAAGCCCATGCCATTACAGGATTTTTAAGCCTCCACTTAAGGGCCCCTGGTTACGCAAAGTGGTCTGGAGGGCGAGAGCAGCCCATGTAAATACCCTCGTGGCCCGCACAAATGTTTGCAGCTGTGGGGATTCGAAGCCAGAGTATTGAGGCCGAAGCTCTCTCAGCTGGACATCGTCCTACCACTAGCCCACTTGCGCGGGTTGATCTCTTTAACGTTTATAAATGTTTAGGAACCTATAAAAGAAAAATTAAGTTGAATTAGCTAAGAGTTATTTCTAATACATTCAATGTTGCAAGAGTTTAAATTGAACTTATGTATCAATGCAAGTTTTCTTAGTAAAACAGATCCAACTAGCGTGGCCAATCTGAAAGACAAACAAACGTTTTTTCCGTTTATTTAAACTGTTCATGTCTCTAAACGAAAGTACCGGAACGTTTACAACAAGTTGTAACGCTTCCAAATATATGGTATGTCTATTTTGCTCTGATTTAAATTATGAAAGTGAAATCGTTATATTTTTTTATCAAAAATTCAACTACACAAGAATTACATGGCCACGACTAATGGGAACATAATATATATTATTTTATCTTTTTTACTAGTTAATATTCATTTTGCTACAGTATAAACATATTATTCGTTTGGTATTTAAAGTTTTAAAAATCATGAAATGAGATGATGACACACATATAAACAAACATCTACAGACTGCCTAGCACGAAAAGAAAGTGGTAATGATTTTGTATTCTCATGATATATATACATTTGGACCCATATTTGGTGCGTTGTAATCTTAAAATTTCAAGTTGATATTTTATTCTGTGGAAATCAAGCTTGTAGTACTAATTTACAATTTGAGACTAACAGGGACAATACCAAGAGTTTGGAGCTGTCACGTGTCCAATTTAGAGCATGTTTAGTGATAAATTCCTAACTTGAGTTTTTAAACATAAATATATTAAATTTTAGAATAACATAATTAAATAATAAAATTAGAAAATTGAAAGTGAAATTGTGTAAAAGAGAATAAGACAGTTGGCTTAAACGTTTCTCTGCATAATTACAGAGTTATTATTGCAGGGAGACAATTTTTATAACGTTTCATCCCTCTCTGCTACTATTATATATTTTAATATATTTTTGTTGGAAAGAATTTCATGTAGAACCATACTAATGCGGATGTTTTTAGTTCGGTTGATTCAATGTATTTATTTTTGGTATCATGTTCATATATCTCATTCATATTTTACGAATTTTCAAGTTAGGTTTGGTTCGATTTTTTTCAAACTCTATTTAAATTATAACTAAAGTCTAAACTTATCCAAAATATTGTTTTAAAACTTAAAAATTACAAAATAACTTAAAACATGTAAATTATTCAAAAATCAAATCAAAAACTAATAACAACTATCTAAACTAATAAAAAATTATTCAAAGCAATAAATAAAAAAATTACAAAAAATTAATACGATAAAATATCTAAATTACTTTAATATACATAATAACATTAATATATTTAACTAATTTATGATATTTTTGGATCTTTGTTCAGATTTCAGTTTGGTTTAAGTTGTACTTAATTAAAAAAACTACCAAACTTTTAAATCCATTATAGATATTTTTGTATAGTGATTCAGATGTGGTTTTAGTTTTTTTTGGTTCTGACTAATATTAAACTGTAAAACGTCCCGACCTACGAGATGTATTAGGATTAGTTTTAAAAAATTAATAAAACAAATTATATGGACTTTTTCACTTTTTGTTGAGAAATATACACAATTTCTTTAAAGGGCGAGATTTTTTCTTTCACTTTTTGTTGAGAAATATTGTCTCTTTTTCATATAAGTGTCACTTTATCGCACACGAATTAAAAAACAACCAATTTTACATATTTTTTTGTTATAAAAACATAACTACATATATTTAACCATATTTTAACCAATGAAAAAAATAAATTACAATATAAATTTAATAAAAAATTAATTGAAAGTCAGAAACGACACTTTGTAACAAATTTTTTTTTTTCTGCAACGATACTTAATATAAACCAGAGAGAGAGTATATAGCCATTAACAAAAAAAACACAGACCAAATATGCAATTATCATAACAAAAACACAAAATACAAATCAAAGTACAAGCACATTAATCAATTATAAGGACGTTATAACTTGAAATATAACTATCATATGGATGTGTTTCAAAAAAGAGAGGACGTTATAACTTACAAGTTAGAACCACAACTATCATTATGAATGTCAAAAAAAACTTGTTTTGTGAATTCTTAGACTTGGTGACGATACACATACAACTTGGAGATGAACAAGAACGCAATGAAAGCAGTGGCCGTGAAAGCGGCCAGCAACAAGTAAAAGTAATCAACATGGGCTCGGTTCAGGTTAGTGTTGAACCAGTTTTCTCCACCATTTCTTCCAGTAGCCCAATCAATCACAGTGATGAGCAAACCACTTAAGAAGCTTGAAAGTCCCATTGCACTCAAAGAAAGCGAGAGACCAATGCTCCTTAGCTCCGTTGGGACTTGGTCGTAGAAGAACTCTTGTGTTCCCACCAAAGAAAACACATCGATCATCCCGAGTAGCAAATACTGAGGAGCAAACCACCATATGGACATTGGAACCGTCACGTCCGGCTTGTCCACGAGCCCATGTTCCCTAGCGATATTGAGCCGTTTAGTTTCCACCAATGCAGCGAGCACCATGTTAAAACTCGAAAGCACCATCCCAACTCCTATTCTCTGGAGCATTGTGATCCCAAAAGGCTTTTTGGTAATCATTCTAGCTAAGGGTAGAAACACATGCTCGTAGAACGGGACAGAGATGAGAATCGATACACCGATGAATGATAACAAAGAAGCCGCAGGGATTTCCAAACCCGGTAAGATTCTTCTGTCCACCGTAACACCTTGCTTAGTGAAAAAAGTCATGAACTGAGCATACGGAATAGTACTCACCACCGATGTGATCCATATCGGAATAAGCCTTACCAAAGCCTTCGCGTCTTCCACATCCCTACCACTACATGGCTCTGCACCGTCTTCCCTTGCAATCATCGCTTTATCTAGGAAACTTTTCACACAATAAAAAGAAACTCACACTCAAATTAAACCAAACAAACACTAAACAAAAACTCCAAATGATTACAATTTTTTTTCCTTTTTCCTAAAGAAGGATGTTTTTGTGTTTTACCAAAAAAAAAAAATGTTTTTTGTGTGTGTTTACATATACTAAAAGCATAATTAAAATGTCACACTAATAGTATTTTAATAAGCATAATTAAATTTTTAGATTAATTTTAATTTATCATTATCAACTAATAAAAATGCTTAGAAAACATGTTTTTTTCAAAATAAAGTTTTAGCAAAAAAGCCATTTAATTTTGTAAAATAGGATGAGTATGCATGCAACTTACTCAAGCCGACCGCTATGTTTCACGAACTGACCATCTTCCAAGAGACCTTGTCCTAAACCGGACCCTGCTAAACTCTGTTTCCGGTTCTTAAACGCCACCAAGAAAACTCTACCGATTCTTGCAAAAGCATTACTGCTCTCCTCGCGGTTTCCCTTAGGGTATCTGTAAGATTTTCTCCCGAGCAAGAACATAACAAGAGCCATAACCATGAACAAGCAAGGGATCCCAAACCCAAACGCCCAGCTAACGTTATCTTGAACGTACGCAACCACTATGATCGATAAACTTATCCCAACAGATAAACTCAAGAACCACCAGTTGAAAAACGATCCTCTCGAGATTACTTCCTTTGTATCTTCCGAGTCAAACTGGTCCGCACCAAAAGCTTGAACGCATGGCTTGTGAGTTGTGTCCTCCTTGTCCGATCGCGACAAGATAAAGAGAGCAGAAGAAAAGTATGTTCACCGAGAAAGAGGGTTTAGCAGAAACATTGATGCGCTGCTCTGATTCTCCCGTGAGGATCAAGGAAGCTGAAAATGTTAATAGTCCTAGTCCCTGTAATAAAATTTCAATTCCGGTTTAATTCGTACCGAAACAAAACCCGGTTTAATATTTTTTAAATTTTTTTTGTAACTAACCAGAATGTAGATGAGGGAAGCTGCAAGAATTGTACGGTAACGACCAAGATAAGCGTCTGCTACAAAAGCTCCTAAAATAGGAAGCATGGAGGCGGTTCCCGACCACGTGTTCACGTTCACGGCGGCGGTCGCCGTCGATTGTCCGAGTGGTCCGGTGAGGTAAGTTATCAAGTTGCAAGCTATTCCAAAGTAAGCGAACCTCTCTCCAACTTCAACACCTGAAAAAAAAAGATTCAACACCTGAAAACAGAGACAAACCGGAGTTAGATTCTTCACCTATGATGAACCAGGCGGATCTCCATCCGCCGGTGGATGATTTTGCGGCGGGACTTCCACGGTGGTCGACGGAATCGCTGACGTAATCTTGAAGAAGTGAAGCTTCTTCTTCAAGTGTCTTCATTGTTCAATATTTAGGAGATCTGAAACTTTGAGAAAACGTGGAGGGTTACTTGACCTTTAAAGATAAATCTTGTTATAATGAACACGATGTTGTTAATTTTTTGATATTTTCTTCGTCAATTTATTGGATAGGAATGTGATAAAGGAACGTGTACGTTCATACTTTTCTAAAGTGACACCCAATTACTACTATTTTATTTCCTATGCATGTATTTCATTTTTTATGGACGAGTGTTTACACGAGCTATGTATATTTTATTTTTAGTTATTTTATTTCATTATCAGCAAATATTTTCTTGTGGCATTTTATTCAGTCGCAGGTCAACTCAAGTACGATGTTGGCGGAAGATTTCTTAGACCACCTCCAATGGTTTACACTATTTTTTCACTCTAAAATAGAGTCACTCTATAATAGAGTTGGAGTTTACTCTAATGATACTCTATTTTAGAGTAAAAAATAGAGTGATGAACAAAGAAAAAACAAATTACTCTATATTTGGAGTAACTCTATTTTTCACTCTATTATAGAGTGAGATATAGAGTGCCATTGGAGCATTTTTACTCTAAAACTCTATTTTAGAGTGAAAAATAGAGTTGGGTTGGAGATGCCCTTACTAAATTCTAAAATAAAGAACCATACTATCATCTTTTTTTTTTGTAATTTTTTGTGTGTGTAAATTTATTGTAAATACTTTTACTAATTGTTGTTTTTATTTAAAAAATAGAAATTGTTGTTATTGTAATGAGAATTGACTTTAAACAATTACAGTGAATATCATATGATCAATATATATATATATTAAATAAGACTGAATGATTTTCACATATTTATCACTATATTTTTTTGGGTCTAAATGTTAAGTTATCACTATATATCATCTCTCTATATCGAGAACAATCCTTAATTCTAATATACTACTAAGACTTTTATAAGACAAGTAAAACTAATGTTTTTAAAAATTGTTGTTAAGTTTTATTTATATCTGAAATTTATTTTGATTGTAATGTGTAAACTGTTTTTCATTTATTTTTTGTATTCTAAAACTATTTCATAGTTGTAACCAGTACCGGTCCTGATATTGGAAAGACCAGAAGCAATTTTCAAAAAATTGGCCATTTTTATAAGAACGTTTATATACTATAATCATTATTTTCTTATAAAAAAGCTGAATTTTTCAATATTTTTTTAAAGGCCGGAAGCGGTTGCTTGTAATGCTTCCCCTCAGGGCCGGTACTGGTTGTAACAATAGTAGTATTTACTTTTTCATTTGTTACAGATGTGATTATCTGACAGTTTCTCATGGAATGTATCTTATAAATAATATATAGTATTTCAATATTAACATTTATTTCATGTAAATAACATCTTATACTAAATTTTGGGCCACTAAAAAGTGCTAAATAGCAAATGACTTTCTCTTGTGACAAAAAAAAAAAAAAAAAAGCAAATGACTTTCTCATATTTGTTTGATAGTTGTTTTCAAGAAAATCGGTTCTCATGGTCTCAAGACTCTCTCTCATCTTTTTTACCCGTTTAATACTGATGATGCTCTTAGGTTTTCATTTACAATATATAACAAAGAAAATATTTATTTAACACCATTAAATTCTATAATCAAATTAAAAGGTATACTTATCACAAAATAGCAAATGGTAAATGAATTACTAAAAAAAATGCTCAATTATTTGAAATAGAAACGATTTCTAGTTTTCTTTTTCATGTTTTTATTTTTTCTTAAATATATAGACTTAGATATCTACAATGGGCGTGCTATTTTCAACTCTCTCACTTTATTTCTACTTTTTGGTTAGAAGGTTAGATATTTTCCACGTGCATCTTAAAATCCACGTTCAGACAAAAAATATCTCAGACGAATTGGTTAGATTTTGGGTTTTATGTGGTGGTTCTACTAATTTTCTTTGGATTTTATGTCAGATCAGTCAAGTTGTCAAAAAGAATATTCGTCGATGGCGGATTAATTAATTTCTATTTGAAATGCTCAATTGACTGTTATTTTGTTCTCCAAATAGATCCTTATCGGTTTTGTTCTTACGCCACGGAGTCGGAGTCGGAGTCACGCAAGATAAAACAGACAATATTCCAAACTTCACAAATATAGTTGTAACGATTTTCGAGTCTTAGAATGATAAAGTCATGTCAACAAATAAAGGGGATGATTGGCAAATGATTTAGAATGTCCACAGCCAAATTATTTCTAGATCAAAAAAAAATTTCCAATCATGTTTTATAAAACCACAAATTTTTTCTTTCCTTTTTATTTAGTTTTGTATGTGGAAAGTACTAAACCTAGAGTATTTATTTTTTGCTTCAAAAATTTAATGTAAATGATTAAATTTTTTTAAATCTACACACAAAATCTTACAATTAAATTATCTACAGTCACAGCAGAAAAATCTACAACTATAATTCTATAGCAAAAAATATAAAATTACAGATCATTCCAATCAACCTCAAAATATATATTTGAATACTGCTCATTGATTCTTACTTCGTGACCATGTTTGTTTCTTGAAGACAATTTCTTTGATGTTAGTTTTGATTTTTAGGATAGGCTTTGATATAGAAAAAGTTAATATATATATATATATATATATATATATATTTATGTATAATAACTCACGTTCTTTAGTTTCTCAACCACACTCTCAAAGTGTCAAGAATATTATGGGTTTTTTTCTTTATCATTAACACTCTTTTGGATTACATAGAAATGTCGCATAATTTCCTTGAAATTTTAATGGATTGATAAAAAAAGTTATAGAAAATGGTGAAAGTTCTTTACCCTTAAAACTCAGGGGTGGATGAGAAACTTTAGTCGGGAACATTAATACCATGATTAATCTCAATTTTTTAATTGAGATTTTTAGTTTTAAATAAAAAATATTTTTAATTTTTATTTAAGAAAAATTAAAAATTATTTTTTTAAATAGAAAATATAAGAGATATTTTTTTATCCAAAAATATAAAAAGATATCAAATTACGAGTTAACTAACCCAAATAATAGATCAAAATTAATCATGTTCTAACATAAATTTTGAGTTTGATAGATGTATTTTTACGAAATTTTAAATAATTACTTGAAGAAAATTAAATTTCAGTTGGTGGCTATCCATTTTGTACCGAAATAAATTAATCAAAGAATTAGATATTCGTAATATACAAAATATAACATAAATACTAAAAATTATAAGAGTTGTACTTGAATATACTTTTATATACACGTGTACTATTGTGTCAATTTATGTAAATACAAATCTACAACACATCATGTTGACTTCTACTTGGTTTTAAGTTGTAGATTAGCTTTTTCTTATATAAATAGTTTAAAAACATTTTTAAACATAAATATATAAGTTACTAAGATATTTTTAGGTTTCTACAAACATATCTAAACCCGGAAAAATTGACTTGATCTCCGTCCAAAAGTTTATAATATCCGAACAAAATAATTTTAAAATCCAAAAAAAAATTTATCCGAAAAACTAATATATACCCAAACGTGTATTTGAATATCCATATTTAATTGATTATGTAAAGAATTTTTTTTTTCAAAAGATTTGAATTCTTGTACTACTGGAACAATATCAAAATTATTAAGTTTAATGCACATCGAAATATTATTATGATATATATAATTAATGAAGTAGTTTGAAAGATTGAAAAAATGTTAAAAATATAGTAAAATATTTAAAATAGGTAAGTTATGTTTTATATTTTTTTTAAATAAATGTTGTTACTTTATTTTGGAAAGAAACAATTAATAAAATTGTTAAAATGAATGAAAAAAAGGTAAAGATGTAATAAATCTATTGAAAATAAAGTTAGTTTTATATTGTATTTAAGTTTAAATAATATATAGGTGTCCAAACCTTTTATATAGTCAACATATATTGTGGATCAATAGGCAAATATTACCTCCTTATCTTGCAGATTCTCTGCACCAACGAAGATAAGAAAATTAATGATTAATGAAAAAACTTCTTTAGATATGAATCTTCTTATTTAGAAAGATTTTATAGCTATATTTGTTCTTATATGATTAATAATGATTAAGGAGGCAAATATTACCTCCTTATATGTATTTTTTCTTTTAAAACCTTTCTGTAATAACCTTTTTGTGGACAGAGCCAAAAAAAATAATCAAAGTTAGAAACTCTATATAACATTTTAGCCATCTGGTCCCTGAAACACACAAATCCTCATCTCATTTTTGCACCATGGGTAGAAGAAAAGTAAGACACCGATTGATTTCTGACAACTCCACTCGTAGAGTTACGTTCAGAAAACGCAAAGATGGCCTACTGAAGAAGCTCAATGAGTTAACCATTCTTTGCGATTTGCAAGCTTGCGCCATCATCTACAGTGACTACAAGGAAGGTCCTGAGGTCTGGCCAAACCGTACAGAGGTTCGTGTTCTTCTAGACCAGTTAAGTGCACTGCCGTTAGAGAAACAGACCAAATACATGATGGACCAAAAGGATCTGATGAACAGGATGATCCAAGACGCAAAGAAGAAGTTGGAGAAAGAGCAGACGCATAGCCGTGCGATGGAACTTGGGCTGATTGCTTCGTCTAATGTACTCAAAGATGCTGATCATTCTGAGGATCTGATCAAAGCAGCCGAAGTGGTTGAGAAAAGGATCAGTGTGATCAGAGAGAGAATCCAGGGTTTAGAATGATATTAATTAAGAGTATAGCCCTTTAAAAAGATTTCATGTATTGAATGTTCTGTTATGATTTAATTTTATACTAAAATGGAAATGAAAAATGGAGTTTGGAAATAAGCTAAGGGATTGACCTGGTTTTTACATGTAGGCAAAAAAAAGAAGATTATACGTAACCATAAACCAACAATCTTTGTGTCCATTATTATTTATACCTATACAATCAAACACATTCACAAAGCATTAAAAACCAAAGGAGAAGAGTCTGATGTGGGACGTTTAGGAGAAAAACTATTGATTTTTATTTTTATTTTTTGGGATTAAATGACCTTTGGGACTTTATCATCTCCAACGAGCCATCTGGCTAGCCAACAAGGATCTCCGGCGAAGTATTTGCATTGCGTTGGAATGATCCCGAGGTCGCTACTGATCTGAGCGTATTCCTTTAAAGCGTTTTCCATCTCCGATTCTTCTTCTCCAATGTCCATTACATCGACTGTGTTCATGCGAAGAACTTCCGCAGAGTTCTGTTCTAACTCATGGTCGTTCTCGAACGGTTCCATAGCTGGACACTGTTTACATTCGGATCATAAGAAAGTGGAACATTTTGAGTTGTAGTAAAAGATTAATCTCTATTAATCTGTGGTTGCATATCAGAAGAAAGATAAAGAATCTGAACCTGACAGAACTGGGCATAATGCCTGTAAATCTCGCTGTCTTCATCTTGGTCACCGAGGAGAGTACCACCGTACCAACCATTGGCTTCATTGGTTGATGTGATCGATAGATACCTATATAATGAAACAATATGTGGATTTTGAAAACGCCATCGTTTGGTCAAAATAGTTACGGGTATGATTCAGGGACGAGTTTGCCAATAACTATTTCTGAAGGTATAGAGATTTCAGAGAAGGAAGGGAAATCAAATCAGTACCTTTGGAAGATATCTTCTTGATGATCGTTGGACTCAGAAAGCCAGTCCAAGTTGCAGAAATCGTTGACTCTCTCACTCGAGGTCACTCCTTTCTCACTATCATCTGCATCAGGTTTTGTGGCAGAGCCACTCTCTTCGGGCTTTCTTGAACCAAACAGCCAATTTGGTGTCTTGAGCTGAATCTCTCTGTTGTAGATAAAAAAAAAGAGGTCAACAACATTAAGCTAACATTCGAAAAAGTTATGGTTTGGTTTTCTAAACTAGAAACCATCTTTCCACTTTCTTATACGGATAAAAGACCTACTAAACGTAAAGAAACACGACTCAAGATATTATTAGCCATTTCCAGTCAAGGGCCTAGTAAGATGATTGAAATTTTTTGAGATGAGGGTCATTACGCTGCATCAGGAGCCACACCAGTGCTTCCAGTGCTGCCACCTGGCCTCTGGTCTGTCTCGCTACAAAGCCTCACGTTTTTTACTGAGCTACGTGTCTGCTCGATCAGTTTGTCAAATGATGTCAGCTTCTTCCGTGAAAAGTCTTCTCTGAAAGCTGGCACTGGTGCAAGATTGGCTCCAATACCACTCATCCGTTTCGCAATGGACTGGACCCTGCAATACACCAGAATTAAAAATGAAAAATCATACGCAACCGGAAATTATCTATCATCTATCTTGAGAAATGTAGTTTAACATCTTCACTAAGAGTAAACCTTACCCCCTTTCTGGGAAAATATCATCTCCAATCCCTGACACATGGAGATAATAATCAGAATCCAGCTCCCAGAGCGCAGGTTTCCCTTCCTGAGGTTGAAAGTAGCCCAAGAATCTGCTCGCAATAAAAGCCATTAGTTATTAGGACTTGAGACTCAATAGATACGGAAATGAAGAGCTCTTAGCCAACGATTTAACAGAGGAACTTATTCTAACGTAAAAGTGGTAATGCCAAGCATGCCAGGGCACTATCTATATCATCAATGAGGTAAGAAAACAGAAGCTTATTCTTAAGCCTTCATTTACTGCTATATCAAGAACTTAGCAAGAAACTGATGTGACTTTCGCAGAGAAGTAAATTACAAATTTATGGCGTCTTGCTTTTCCCCATCAGTGTAGGTATTACTGTAGTATCGTTTGATAGACTTCATAAACTCTCTAGACTGTGTCGTGGCCTTCCATTTCCCCTGCCTTTCTGGGAAAACCTATAATCCAATCAACGATGTTAACGAATAAGCACTGCAAACTTTACTTAGTCAAATAACTGGTCAAAGATGATAAGTGGTGTAATTACAGTATTATGCGCAGCTGAGCCGCCATATTGTTGTGCAAGGGCATCGCCCATGCCCTGGTACATATCCATAAGTGCAGCAGCTATGCTACTATCAGGGTCAATCTTAGATGTATCACTCAAACCCATTGCGTGCAGCTGCCGGCCTAAAGAAGCCAAACCATACGCGTACTGTGCTACGTTTGTTCGATCCAAGCAGTCAATACAGTTAGTACGAAGAACCCCACTTTGGTAACGAGGAGCTGAGGAATCAGTTCCATCGTCTTTCTTTTGTTGACTTAGCTTCATCTCTTTCTCTCGGTTAGCAAGAGCACTAAGTATATCATTTGAACTCTCACCCCTCGAAAGTTCCAGTGAGTAAGCTCTTAGATCACGCAGAGATTGTTCCCTGCAATTATTTTCTCCATTAAAACCATAAAGGTAATTAATGGCTCCAGTTTTTAGAACTATCTACATCAGTACACAAAATAAGTAAAATTTCTGACTACAAAAGTAATAGTAGATCACATCATCCCAAAAACTACCTTCCAGTGCTAGCATGAGTAAGTTGGCTAGCTTTCTTCTTAACAATCTTAGGCTTGCCACTGAAGTAAAATCCAGTCAAATCAAGGGCTTCGCTTGCTACAGCACCCAAAACAGCCAATACATTCGCCGACTTGCTTTAACATCGAAAATAGGAAGCAATGTGAGTTCAAGTTACAAAGGCAGGAAACTAATCCATGCGTTTTACCTCTTTGCAAATTTGTGGAAATCCCAATGGATAAATTTGAAACGATTTTCTTCAGGAAAAATTGAGTTTAGGTAAGCCACTGCTTTCGCAAACTCACGCCTTAGCACCATTTCCCGAGGTCTTTTCTCAACTGACTGAATATATCCATGGAAATTTCTAAGGCGTAACCATCTCTAGCTTAAAAATAAAAAGATATACTAACCTTGATTAAGTTGAGCACAATGATAGGATTCCCGTATCGGTTCACCAGGTCTTCAAAATGCATTTTGGTTGACTCGTATGTAGGATCATACCTCTGTACTGAGGAAAAAAAAACAGGAAAAAACTCAGTATGTCAATAACCACACGGGTCTTAAAAATGGTCAAATAGAGATAACAGGCGCATCTTGCGCTAGCTTCTCACAGAAAATATCAGGCTTAGGACTAAATCTCGAGGCCTCTTGCGACCAAAAGAGTGGAATTGATCCTCGCATTTGCACCACTGATGTCATTTTTCCTTTGCATGATCCAGCTTCTTCATCAAAAACAAGTTGTTCTGTTTCAACATCATTCGCAACCCTTCCACGATCATTCACTCCCCTTTTCAAGTAACTGCGACATAAAAAAATTACAGAACGAAAAGGCACTATTTTATTAACAGAAAATAAGAGAAACAAAAGCATCCATTCTTCTAGAAGAGTTCACACCACTCAATATTAGGTTCACCTTAAACAAAATCTCCAAAGATACTAGATATAACTCAGAAAGTGTATGAGAAAATCGATACAGATTATGAGTTCCTCATCCGTGAGAGGCCTGATTAGAATGAAGTCTTACCGTGTTCCTGCAAAATGTCGAGAACGTCTGGATACTAGAGTAACACTGAAGTCTCTCCCATATATCGATAGCCTCATCTGAACGAATAAACAGTAAGGGTCATTCATTTATAACTCTACGGGTGGAGACACAAGAAAAAGCCTAAAAAAGCACCTGCTTAAAATGCCCATGAACTAATGGAAGAGTCCAAATAGTGTTGTTACACCTTGATCGAATAGGCTGTGTGAGATACGCATTCCATACAAAAATGTTATCATAGGGCACTCCTTCCTCACCAGATGACAAAACGTTCTTTTGCAAACTCCGCATTATAGGATACGTGTAACTGTAGAAGAAATCTTTGGTCAAATCTACACTTGACAGAAGCTTCTTGTACCTGAAACACAAAGGAAATAAATGAATAAGTCGAGCTTCAAGGGAGGGGGTAAAAACACCAAAAACCTCTACCTTAGTTCAGTTTTGGAATTGGCAACATCAGACTGGATAGTTGCATGTGGAACAGTGATCATTTGACTTTCATCAATAGCGTAGATGGCATGCCCACATATGCATCCTATTTGTCGTCGTTTTGTCACCAAAACTAAGTAGTATGACTCCATAAACTTAGCACAACCTAACAAGCCACACAACAAACCTTTCTTATGTGGAAACAAACAAATAATTAAAAAATATTCAAAACCGGAAAAAACAATCAAACCAGCAATTCCATAGACTTTAGCGACAAAGGCTAATCCACCAGTGGCGCGATTGCCTTCGGAGATACGCTGAAGAAGGCTCTTGATCTCCTGAGGAGAATACACTACGGGATCTTCGCTAATGTTGAGCTCTGACGGCTCTGATCGATCGATCTTCAGCACTCTGAAGAATCTTTTGTTCCGATCGCTCCCGACGAGGTAAAACCTCTGTAACAAACAAAATTCCAAACGATTCAATCTAATGGTTTCGATTTCAGATTCCGGAAAATCTAGGGGGGATCGAGATCGGTGGAAAACTTACGGCTCTGGTCTCGTAGAGCTTGAACTTTTCGAGAGCGTACGAGTCGGGATCGGCCTCGGCGTCGTTGGACGGTTGAAGCTTCGCGAAAGACGAAAAAGTCGTTGAGTTTTCCGATTTCGCCATTTGTTTCTCTGACGCCGGCGTTCGTTAGGAAGTTTAGAACACGCACGCACGGGGATAGGGGGGGGGGGCATTCCCGTCTTTTACTAATTTTGATTAGCGTTGTTTATTGGTAAGGTTTTATTTTTCAACTAATGTATCGTAGTTGGATGAAATCACTAAATTAACTCATTTTACGTCAACTTTTAACACAACTAAAATAGAGGTTTTATATAATTTAATAGTAAAAATTAAATGCTTACAATTTGTGTGACATCAGTAGTCTCAACAAATTTTGGAATCACTTTTTTTTTTTGTGAAACCAAGGATTATATTAGCTTAAGTGGTGATTATAAGTAGAGGGTTCATTGTGAGAGAGTGAAATTCACTTGTTACATAAACGAAGACTAATAGCATTTTTAACCCACAAACTTCAAAAGTGATGTTTATTTTTATTTTTAGTTATTTATTTTCTTGTTTTGATTTAAAAGAAAAATTAAAAAATGAACTGATCGCGGACCGCCACGTAACAGTGGATACCGCAAACTGAACAAACATCAACGCTTAAATACCGTAAACTGAACAAACATCGACGCTTAAAGAGACACGAAAAGCGTCAGTTTTTCAAAATCGTGTGGAACCTACCCATTACTATAATAATTTCTGATAAGCATTCTTCCCTTTGGTTCTCTTGATAATGCTGCTGTAAAGCATTAAAGGCATTGATATATACTCTCTCCATTTCAAAAAGATAAACATTCTAGAAAAAATATTTGTTTCAAAAAAATGCATTTTTATATTGAAATGTATAATTTAATGAAAAATTGTAGATTCCAAAAAATAATTGTGTGTTCTTAAAATTCTATTGGTTAAAAATATATGAAATTGTTTTTATAATAAATGATGGATGGTAATCAAAATTTTATGTTTTTTTTAATATATGTAAAAAAATTAAAACATATAACTTTTTGAAATAGAGAGAATATGATTTTAGCACATACTGTTGCTACAAAAAAAAGGCATTGATATATAGTATGATTTTACCCCAAGAAAAGAAAAACGCAAATGCATTGATGGAGATGCAAATATGAAACAATTAATTTGTTCTATTCGTAAATGGCGTTTTGGGACCTCATCAAACATATTCCCCCACATTATCCGTTACGATATTTAACAAACCACAACCAAGCAAATCTTTTGTTTTCTCACCCACTTATCCATATTCAGTAATTTTACATGATGTGCTATAGATATCTACATGTGCATGCTTATCTTCTTCTTACAGCTTGAGCTACAAAAATGTTGACATTCCCACTTTATGGTTGTGAGTTATCTTCAGAATCCAAGATTCTAGCTTTTGCTGCTCCACTGCTTTCTATCTCGCATACCAAAAGACAGGTTGTGCTAGGACGATGCGATTCCATCAAAGTTTCTGCAGCTAAATCCGGAAATTTCTCCCTTGGTTCGGTAAGACTTCACAATTATATATTATGCAAAAACCAATATCTCTGTGCAAATATGATAGTAGTCAATGAGTAATTTTTTTAGTAGTTGTGAGAGTCTGTAATGAAAATAAACAGATATTCAAAAGCTGCGACACTTGTGGAGCCAAAGGAGCAATTGAGTGTCCCGGTTGCAAGGTTTCTTATTTATGCATACACTTCTTCTTTTGTAGCATTTATCTTATCATACATATAAAGAAAAAAAAAATCGTATGTTACCTCCAGGGAACAGGTAGAAATAAGAAGAATGGAAATATTTTCGAGCGGTGGAAGTAAGTAAAAACTGAAACAATAATTTAAAATCAATCATATTTTTTCTAAGAGTTAATGATTTAGGAAAGTGCAAAACTGTAGATGTTTTGATTGCCAAGGATTCGGTATGAAGAGCTGTCCTAAATGTGGCAAGGGAGGTTTGACGCCAGAGCAGAGAGGAGAAAGATAGAACTATACTACTTGTTTTTAATAAACATGTATCTATCTCCATTACTTTGTAGTTATATATACTAAAAAATATTAATAATTTATCTTTTCGACAGAATCTGAGTTCCCTTAAGGTTTTAAATTATGACAGATGTAGCAAACAAAAAGTGCTAGAACAACTAAATACGACTCACATGTTCGAAATTTATACACAGTACTGATTATACATAAACTAATGAAATTCTAAAATAGAGAGACAACATCAGAACTTACCTTCGGTGGGAATTTAGAATATTCTAAAGAGAATCATCATCAATTTATATTACCAAAAAAAAAAAAAAATCATCATCAATTTACTTTGAAGATTATAATAATAAGATTTAACCATAACTTTCGTTCAAAAAAGAAAAGAAAAAGATTTCTCATAACTTTTTATCTTGGTTGACAATGACATATGTTTCGTAGTTGTAAATGACTCGTACGAGACGTAACAAATATCAAGACCGTTGTTGCAGACTCCTCATGGCTCAACTTGTTGCTCAACATTATGAAAATCTTACTACACACTAAAAATGGTTCACTGTAAATTATCAATCCTTTACCCCAAAATGACATTTTCTTTATACGGTACTTTTTTTTTGTCAACAAGATATACGGTACTTTGATGATGATGATTGTCTCATGATCTTTTAGTGACGCTCTGTAACTACTTTTTTAATCTTTTATTTTAAAATTTGACCTGTATGTTGTGTTTCTTTGTGAGTCATCATCATCTTCACAGCATATAGCATTATGTTTTTTGAAATATTTTTTTATATTAAAAAATGGTGTCGGCCAAGAAAGAAAGAAAAAATCATCATTATCCTCTGGACACCTCTCTCTTAAAAGCTGGACATGCCACACGAGTCTCCCTCACATAAAATTTCCTTTAAAGAAAACAATTTGTTTCTATTTTAAAAAGAAAACTTTTGTTTTTGTAAGATTGTAGATCGAACTTGGCGCTTCTTTGCTTTCTTGAATCCGAAGGACAGAGCTAAGTAAAGAAGCTGTGGATCATGTCGATGCGAAGAAGAAGTTTGCTTAAGGTTATTGTCCTTGGAGACAGCGGGTTAGCTTCTTTTTTTTTTTCTCTCACTTTTGTACCTTACTTGATCAATTCTTTAGCCTTCTTTTTACTGATTATGATCTGTCTGTTTCAGGGTTGGCAAAACATCGTTGATGAACCAGTATCCTCACTAGTTTTGATTCTTTCTTTCTCGCAACATAAAATTTTATTTATTTATTTTAAGGCCTCTTGGTTTTCAAATTTTTGTTCAAAATTTTGTGGAAGCCTTAGCAGGTTTGTGTGTAGATATGTGAATAATAAGTTTAGTCAGCAGTACAAAGCCACGATTGGAGCTGATTTTGTTACCAAGGAACTTCAAATCGATGACAGGCTCGTCACACTCCAAGTATGTTTCTTCTCTTGTCTTGATCTTATCTGCTTTATATTTTTAATTTCTAGTCTATATGTTTGTTTGTGTGTGTGTGCTTTAGATTTGGGACACTGCTGGGCAAGAGAGGTTCCAGAGTCTTGGTGCTGCTTTCTATAGAGGTGCAGATTGTTGTGTGCTTGTTTATGATGTTAACTACCTCAAGTCGTTTGATTCTCTAGACAATTGGCACGAGGAATTTCTTAAGCAGGTTCTTTTGCTCTTTGTACCTTTCTTCTCCAATTTATATTTCTGGATGATTCTTCTTCTGTGGATGAATCTTGAATGTTTTCTTAGGCTAGCCCACGGGATCCAACGGCGTTCCCGTTCATATTGCTTGGTAACAAGGTTGATATTGATGGAGGAAACAGTCGAGTGGTAAGTCAGCCTCTAAAATGATATAATATGATTACTTTAACAATTGTTAATGTTATTATTATGAATGATATAATATGATCACTATAACAGTTGTAAATGTTTGTAATAACCAATTGTTATGATCCTTTGTGTTGATGAAATACATTAACTTCAGGTATCAGAGAAGAAAGCTAGAGAATGGTGTGCTCAAAAGGGAAATATATGCTATTACGAGACATCGGCTAAAGAAGATTACAATGTAGATGAATCTTTCTTGTGCATCACAAAACTTGCCCTGACCAATGAGCGCGACCAAGATATGTAAGTAAACCTCTTAATTATTATATCCTAAAGCTAAAAAAGATTATAAAAGGGGTCGTGCTCGTGGATGATGAAACTGTTCCATTGAAACATTTTTCTTTGGTTGGCAGATATTTCCAGGGGATTCCAGAGTCTGGTTCGGAGCCTGAGCAAAGAGGAGGATGTGCTTGCTGAAGAGAAACATCTGTCTTAGCTATGCTTGATTTGTTCCATTAGTTTTCTTCAGTCTTTTGATCTTTTGGTGGTTCAGAGATTTTTTTGCACCAGTTGTTAAAGTAGTAGGAAAAACTCTGTAAAGTCTGACTATTTCTCTTACCTTATATTGTCCGGTTAAACCAATCTTAATCAATCCTGGTTGGCTCTGCTTCGAAACTCTATGAGGCTATCTTTGCAAAATTGGAGTTGCTCTTGGGATGGTGATCAACAAGTTATACATCATATTTCTTGTCATGAGATCATAGTAATGCTCTACTTTACCAGATTTTATATGCATTTGGCTCTTACATGAGAGTCGTTTAATTACTCTTTTATATTTCTGGCTGGATCTTTGGAATTATAGGGGTTGCTCTGTCACCATATCTCGGCAAGTACAATATACATATCTCAAAGTTCAAAGTCTTGACGGATCCATTCATCACCCATCAATATAAGGAGTTTTTTTTTTTTTTTTTTGAAAATTCATGCATGTTTGTTCTCTTTTTCTCAGTTTTGGCACGAGCCTAGTCATTGTCGTGCAGCTATTCCGTCTCTCTTCTCTGAAACCTATAAAACGTTAGTCTAAGACGATAGATTAATATATATATATATATATATATATATATATATATATATATATATATACTAAAATGTAGCTTATCAAATATCAACATACTTCTTATAATTCTTGTTACATTTTTTCAATCTTTTAGGAGGACGAGGAAGCAAAAAAAAAAAACGAGACTGAGTTTTTTGTTTTGTTTACCATGGCTATGTTAGTGAACTCTCATGGGTCATGGCAGGGTTGGAGATACGTATGAGCAAAATCATTCTGCGGTTTTGCGTATGTGAAGCTTTGTGATTTCATTTTTACACACGAAAAAAATTTAGTTATCCATTACAAGTTTGCATGTTGCATGTAATATTTGGATATATTTCTTCTGCATAATTTATTTTTATGTGACAACTAAAAAATTACATTAAAAAGTTTTATCTTCACTTTTAAAATTACAGTCAAAAACTAACAAAAATGACTGTAAAAATTTTATTTTCTAAATCTCCATCTTTTTTTGCTGTAGAAAATATGTTGTTCTTCGTTTTTTAACACAACTTATATTATAAAAAGTTCAATGAGTATTAATGTTTACAACTGAAACAGAAAATCCTGAAGCCATGTTCGACATAATAAAGCTAGAAAGCATTACAAAAAGAGTAATGATAAAACCATTTCAGGGTGAGTCATGCTCAGCGAAATGAAGAACTCACAAGGAATCTCCATTTTTATTCCCATGGCGATTGTTCTCACGAACAATTGTTAGTCGAAAACGACGTTGATACATCTATTAGAAGTTGAAATGTTGAATGTCAAGAACTCTAGGTGAGAAGTTCCAAAACCATAGACAGCATTGAAAGTGCGAAGTCCTAACTAACTTGATTTAACACTGAAACAATCATATTCTCCTTTTAACTCAACAAGACTTACTAAAGAGATTATGTGAATCTCAAGCTCTAGTACTCAATTTTGAAGTTGTACAGCTAAATTAAAAACTTCTATAGACCAAATTTTAGAAAAAAATTTCTACAATTACAGTTCAATCAATTATCTCCAGTATCATTTTGACATTTATTTCAATTCTAACAACCATAATAAATGCAAATGGGTTAATTTTCTTACATTATTCAAATTTTAATTAGATTACAAATAATATTTCTGTAAAAATAACACTTCAATTCTGCGCAAATAGTTTAATTTTTTTTTTCATTTTGGCTTTGATTATTGATATGAGTTATCTTTGATTAAGTTTGAGTTAGGTTTATAACACAAAATGTTACCAATCATGCATCAAATTCAATATTCTGATTTTAGATTTAATTTAAGATGTGTTGTAGTTGAGTTATAATTTTGAGTTAGTCCTTTTATAAAATTGCTAACTCAAATCATAAACGTATATTCAGTTACAAAAAAAAAATCATTAACGTACATCAACCATAATTCCATGTTTTAAAAAGTTGAGTTACAAATTTGATTAATTTTCTTTTTAAAAATAAAAATGAAAATCGGGAGTGTTGTATCACGTCACTTTTAAACCCAAAGGCTCAATGTCTGTTTTCTTCTTTTGCATGCAAAAAATTATTTTCCTTTTTTACTTACAAAAAAACAAATAATTAAGCTTAACATCTTTTGTTTATTTATTTATTTTGGATAAAGATGTCTAATAATGAAAATTTTGATGATGTTGGTGCTGGTGCTGATGTCACGATGGAATTATAATTGTTTTGCTATTACTTGAGTTTTTAAATTTAAAGTTTATGCTATTATTATTTGTTATTCACTTAATTTACTTTTATTGATATTAGAATAAATAGCATCAATACAGCTTAATGGTTCCTTATTTATTTATAATAAATATTTTACTATTTTATTATAATTTTTATAAAGTAATATATATTTACAATTAATTTTATACTTATTTAAAGTATTTTTTATTTTTTTATTTATTTCTTTTTAAAAACAGCTTAATGGTTTATTTATTTTAACAAATATTTCTGGCTGGATCTATGTTTATAATATTTTATTCATTTATTTATAGTATATACTGCAACTTATACATCGAAAATATTATCAGTCATAAGTTTTAATAAAATTTTAATTTTATTTTTTACTGCAAACTTACCACATAAATTTACAGTTTCTACTACATAATTTTTACTGCAATCTAAATCGAATTTCAAATCACATTGTAATTCAACTGTAACACTACATGTCACCGAAGCCTTTATATATACTATTTACATATTCATCACCATCGTCATATTTCAATTTTTTTACTGATATAAAATCCACACAATTGAAAAAGATGAAAATACTTTCCTAGCAATATACATGGATCATCATTAACTCGTTAAAGCCAACTTTGAGGAACTAAATATAGTTTTATATGTTGTTATTTGGTCAAAAGAACAAAAATAGACTACCTTTATCTATTAATGGTACTGTATACAAATATCTTTAGTCATGATTAGAGACCAAATCAATAGTTGTTAGCTATTTAGGGGCTATACATCTAAAAATAGATGGGTGCTCGTATTTTAATCCTATCCTAATTTGTCAAAAATTATCATAACTCAAATTACATGCATAATATTTGAACAAAATTCGATGAATCTATAAGATAAAAGTCTGGTCTTAAATCTCAAAAACATTAAATCATTTTAATTAAGAGAGAGAGTCTTAACTTAGTTAAACCTTTGAAGAACTTCATATTATAGTTAATTAATCCATGATCTGGTCAACATGATCTAGAAATAGTTTTTTTCCTGAGGAAGGGCTTGTTCTAAAAATAGTTCACTGTTCTATATGTGGTAGTGTAGATAAATATCTTAGCCATGACCAAATCAATAGTTCACAGATTCGCAAACTCTACTCCTTAAGATAGATGGGTGTTTGTTTTATAATATTAAACAAGCTAGTCAAATATCATTAATACATTTGTTAGTAGGTATGGTATATATGAGGGAATATCACAAAAAAATAAAAATAAAAACAATCTTCTTCGTCATCAAGGAATTTTAAATTAAACTTTATTTGATATTTAATCTTGATTAAATTCTTAACCAAAAATTTAAGATTTTGTGTAAAACTGTAAAACATTAAATCAAATGACTTAATTGTTAATTTATCTTCTAAGATCAGTATATAACATATACCAAGATATTGTGGTCTAATGGTTTATAGAAAGAGTTGGTTCGTTATACCTTAAGTTCAGTTTCTTTTTTTTTGTGTGTGTTATAGTACTATATGAATCATCTAGTTCCTGACTTGCTGAGACATATTATTTCATCCTAATTTTTTTTGGTGTAAAAGAAAAGCAACTAATACTGTGAAACAGACATCCTGAGTTGACACCACCAAAAACACACACAAACAAGTAAATAAAATAGTCACTTTCTCATCTATAAATACCCTAGTCACACTCTTCACATCGATTCGATTTTCCCCTCATCACTCCTCTCGATCATTTGAGGAAAGTAAAAAGGAAAAAAAAAATCGAAATAAGAATAAAAACAATTTCCCTTAATAAGAAGGAAATTATAAACTTTGAAGAAAATATACAAAACACAGTCTCTCTCACTTAAAGCCCCTAGAGAATCTAACCATCCCATTATCCATTTAAGGATCGGTGATTCTCTAAAAAAGTAAAGCACGAGCATGGCGGCCGCGGTTGCGACGGGGGTTGCACCGTCGACAATGATTGATCAAGTTCCGAGTCCGACGGCGGCTCAAACTTCGGTTCAGGTTCCGGTTTCGATACCGGTTCAGTCTCCAGTGGTTGCGGCTGATCAAACGCATCCGAATTCATCGCTCTACGTGGGGGATCTAGACCCGAGAGTGGCCGAAGCACATCTGTTCGATCTGTTCAAACATATCGCTAGTGTTGTCTCGGTCCGAGTCTGTCGCGATCAGAACCGTCGATCTTTGGGATATGCCTACATCAATTTCAGTAACCCTAATGATGGTAAAGTAAAAATACACGTTAATTAGGTTTTCATGTAATAAAACATACTCTCATGTATACGTACGTACTAAGTTGATGAATGGTACATTCCCACTAGTATTAGTATAACGATCATATTTTCGCCTTTTAATGATTATCTTGAGAAAACTTCATATTCCATTATTCATGCAAATCACTATTTTGCCAATATCGCCTTTTGTTAGACCCGCAAAACAATTATAGTCTTTATATTGTAACACTGATGACTGATCCATCATTGATATGTATCGTTTGAATACGTACGGGACTAATCATTCATGCAACTTTTCTAAAATGATTCTTTCAATAGAAAAAACAAAAAAAAACTCTTCTATAATTATGTTTGTGCCTTTATATTGTCATAGTAGATGCGAGCTAGTCTTCTACTTTGACAATAACGATCTTATATATATATATATATATTTCCAAGTTATTTATATATATATGAATGATTGGTTAAATTAATAAAAGTGATATATTTTCGTAGCTATCCGCGCAATGGAGGCGTTGAACTACACTCCCCTCTTCGAGAGGCCCATCAGGATCATGCTCTCGAACCGTGACCCTAGCACGCGAAAGAGCGGCAAAGGAAACATTTTTATCAAAAGCCTGGACGCCTCTATCGACAACAAGGCCTTGTTCGAGACCTTTTCGAGCTTCGGAACCATCCTCTCATGCAAAGTAGCAACTGACGTGACCGGACAGTCCAAGGGATACGGGTTCGTCCAGTTCGAGAAGGAGGAGTCTGCTCAAGCAGCAATTGACAAGCTAAACGGAATGCTGATGAACGATAAGCAAGTCTACGTGGGACACTTCATCAGACGCCAAGAACGTTCTCGGGACGAAAACGCCCCTACACCGCGTTACACTAACGTGTACGTCAAGAATCTCCCCAAGGAGATTGGTGAGGAGGAGCTGAGGAAGACGTTTGGTAAATTTGGATCGATTTCGAGCGCGGTTGTGATGAGGGACCAGAGTGGAAACTCGAGGTG